TTCTGGAAAAATGCTGCACCAGACAACCTTCAGTGCTGCCCAGATGTCTGAAGGCCAAGGCACTAGGTCCTCAGCTGAGGGGAGGAGTTCAGATTGGCTTCCCCTCCCTTGAAACAAATCAAAATGACTCCATAGCATTTTCTCAGGGAAATGCAACTCCTTCAGCCCTTCTATAACCTATTTATCCATTCCACCAACACTGATAGTGTTATTTTAACATCTAAAAACCAGTATGCATCAAGAATGCATACTGGTTTAGTTCTCAGACTTTCTATACAAGCCCTCACAACTGCTGTAACCTATAGTCTTAGAAATGGTCACCAACCTATAATGCAGACCTAAGCAAATTTAAAAGGGACACTAAACTCAGGAGTTAATTATAGAAATACATTCAAGGACCTTAACCATTACCAAAAATGTATCTTATTTGTGTATCACTCAGCTGTAGATCCTCAAATCATCTCTGAATTGGTGCCGACACTGTCCTTCCTTCTGGAGGGGGGCTACTTTTGTACCTCATGGTCCCTGTGTGTGTTGTAAAGTAGCCAACGCTCCAAGTTAGCTCCGGTAATGGACTACAATCTCAATACAAATTTGTAAACTAAACATGAGATTGTAGTCCATCACATGAGCGAGCTTGAAGCAGTGACTACTTTACAACACACACAGGGACCATGGGGACAGATGATTTTATGATCTACAGATTTAACTCCTGAGTTTAGTTTCACTCTAAAACACAACTTCGGACACACCAACCATTCCTAGACCCAGGACACAAATGCAAATTGAGAGACTGTTCACTAGAGCTACAGCATTCCCGGTCCTGGTGTTCCCAAGCTGCTCTGTCTGATTTGAACGCTTAGATCAGCTTTTATGCAGTTTACATTCAAACATATACTGGTGAAGGGCAGGCTTGGTTCATGTGTGAATAATAGAATAGTAAACAAAAGGCACTGTAGGTTTTAGATTCATTCCGTAAGGGCACATTCATACCTTTGCATTCATGTGAATTTTTTCCGCAATGCATTTCCATTGAAATCATTAGAAATGCATTAAATGGCATATCAATATGTTTTTTTAGCATGCACCGCAATGCACTTTGCATTGCATGTCAATGTGTTAACATGCGTTTGGATGCATTTTTAGCATGCCTCTGTATGAGGCCATAAAAAAAAGTGGGCTTCTAGCCTAAGCCATACAAATAATTGTGTACCAACATTTCCCCAAAGATGGTAGCTCCTAATTACAATCATGTACAAAAAGATCTTTAATATAATGCAACTTGCAATAATCATTTTACAATATTTGAATCCTGTTCCAGGTAGAAGCCTACACTGCATATATAGCATGGTTACCTTGCGCCACATCCCTCTGTCCACCGCAGCTCCTTTCCAGCATCACACTAGTTGAACATCCTCTTGATCCATCGAGATTCAGTCTGTCTGCTGATGCATGAAGCTCCAGTGAAGTCCACTGACAGATCTCCTCAGCGGTTCTTCCAAGTCTCCGTTTGCAGTCATGATGATTCCAGCAGATGTTTTTTTTTATATATATATATATATATTCTTGAATTAAAAACTTTCCACACCCCAAACTAAAATCATGACTTTAGGGTAGAGGTGAACCCATTGAAATCATACTTACCTTTGTAGCTCTAGTCTGCCAACTGGCAGTTCAGAAGTGTTGCAGTATTTTGCTGCCTGAGATGAGCTACCTAATGCATCCAGCTACCTGACCATTTAAACAAAACAGCAAGGCAACTTAAGCGGAAAACCAGAATAGGACTGCAAATTGAAGTATGATTTAAATGGGTTGTTACCGTCGCTACTTCATTCACAAGAAAATGGAAGAAAAACACACACACACACACACACACACACAAATGTGCAAACGAGACCAACACTGTAAGTGTCATCATACAGGGCATTCCAGACTATCAGATCCACACGTTATATGCCAGCAGCCAACATGGGAGCCAAAAACGAGCTGTCACAACCCAGTGACCGTTATAACTTGGCAAAAGTATTTTGATCAAGCTGACAATATGTTCAATATTCCTCAAGACCACAAAATAGTTCTAAAGTAAATGACAGTTCTAAAGTAATGACATTCACCAAACATTAAATGCTGGTGAATAATTTCCTGTAATTTAAAACATGTACCAGGAGGAAACACATGCAGTAAATGTTCAGTGAATGTCACATTCACTGCTCCGTAAACATACCTCTAAATCTTAAAGTGTATGGATGGGGGGGAACCCATGCAGCTCTGCAGTACATGTACAATCCCCTCATGTTTTTTTCCTAACAAATGCTGAAAGTACTGAAAGCCATCTGTTTAATCAGAAATGCCCTGAGCTCCTAAATGACTGTTGTGGGCCAACAAGCCTTCCCCCATTCTACTGGAAAAATACAGTTTTGTAGCTGCCAATGTGCACAGATGCAGATATTTCCCATAACTTTCTGTCCTTCCAGCAAAAAGGGAAATGAAAAAAAAACTGATCAATGAATAAACCTTTCATCTTCTTGGTATTGGTTGCGTTTCATTTTCATAACATTTAGGGCTCATTCACACGTGCAAAGACCTGATCCTGGTAGAGGTAATGTTGCATGTAAATGCATGCAGCAGCCTGCACCTCCCTATGGGAGGAAGCAGCTGCACACTGTTACATGCAGACCCAAACCTGCACATTTGTGTGGGTCTGAATGCCCACACAGTCTGCGTCCAAGTGCGGGGTCTGTGTCTGTGTGCAGCCACATCCTCCCATAGAGAGCGAGAGGCTGCTGCATGCAATTATATGCAGTACCTATCCCTCCCAGAATTGGGTCTTTGCACAGTCTGTGAATGAATCCTTAAAGCAACTGTCACCCTTTAAAATCACCAAAAGACAAAGTTCCCTGCAATTCAAGATTGTTTAAACTCACCTGTCCCACCGCCCGTTCCTGGAATCTTTACTCTCTTGAAATGCTGTCTGAAATACTTTCAAGTGGACACTCTCCCCAAGTGTGTTGGATGCCTGTTGTCCTTCTGCACCCAATGGTCCCATTCACCTGTCTTTGTGTCACTACAGCGCACAGTAGTAACATTAAGGCAGGTGGGGAGTCAGTGTGTATAGGTGCGCACAAGCATTCAACAATACCAGAAGTGTTGGATAGGAAGATTCTTCAGGGAGCCAGAGCACTCAAGACTGGCTGAGCAGGGGACAGGAGAGTATACATTCTATTGCAGGGAACAATTTACTAAAAATAAAAAACCCAGACAGTTGCTTTAACGTCTGACGTGACTTTATTTGAAGTTTTGGATGTTCATTTGTCAAATTTTGTTTGTTTGTCTGTGACCATACTGGGGAGATTTCCCCAGAAATGCTGTGAGTTTAAACCCTCACCCAGTGTACTCAAAACTGTTTATCGCCGTCAAAACTTACTTCCTGTCCTGACTGGAAGTGATGGAAATCTCCCAATTGGGGACACAGCAAAAAACCTGACACTCATATTGTCTGAATTCCATCCAAAATGTTTTGGTTGCAGTCGGACTTTTAAAATCAACTATTTGTCATATCAAGCAACAGGATGAATTTTGCAAGAGTGTAGCTCTTGGATGGACCAACATTAGCAAGCGGGTAGAAGTTTAGAAACAGTCGCTTTAACAAGAAATCCCAATGTCATTAGTGACTGAGCGTTAAAGTATATATAAAGTCAAACTTGTTTCCCCCCCTTTGGTGGGTAATGATTAAAGAAGAACTCCAGGAAACCTTTATTAACCCTTGCAATGGGCCCGTTATTTGTCTATACTCACCCAAATCTGCGCTCCCTCCAGTCTGTGTCCCCCTCCCTGCAGCATTGGAATCTTCCCCAGGATCCTCACTTCTATGCACAGTGTATAGAACGTGATGATTTACAGGACCTTAGACTGCTGCAGAGGATGGGGAGAGACACTGGAAGGACCAGTTTAAGAAGAAGCCATCTCAGAGATTCAGGTAAGTATAACTTTTTTTTTTAAACCTAGACACAAATGAGCACCTACTCCTTGTAGTGAGGCTATCCCCACACTGCAAGGGTTAATATTTTTTTCCCCCCCTGGAATTCTTCTTTAAATCCCTTGAGTTTTTTGTTTTTGCCATGTGTCACAATGGGAAGATATCCCTTGGCTTCCTGTCAGACAAAAAAAAAAACAGAAAATCTGTCCAAAAGTGAGTAACTACCCATGTTCCAATCGGATAGCACAATCTCCTTTAGGTCTACCAATAACCATGTAGTGCAAGAGCCTGCCCGAATGGATATAAATTGATTGGATAGATTAGGTAGGTCCTCATATTACATAGTGTTGGTAAATCTAAATTTGATTGTACTGTCAGATTGTAATATGCAAGGTGACACTGTCACATAAACAAAATGCCATTCAGAAGAAGAAGTATTGGATTGTCCATCACTTATCCCAGTGACAAGTCTCCAGGACAAAAAGGGAAAGTGTAACCCCCCAAGCAAAGACACAGAGCGCAATAAAAACCTGACAAGGGTTTTATAAAAAGACAAAATTGGCTTCAGATACCTCAAGTACTTTACACTTTCATCCACTGGAGGTTACAAAAAGAATACTCAAAACCACCCTTTCAAGAAAAGTCAAGCAGCTTTTGGCTAACTGCATTGTACTCATCTAAGACTTCGCTGATGCTCATTAGATTTGCCACAGAAAAGTACCTTTATTTTAGGAAAATTTAGAAAACAGCTTTTTTTTTAAACAAAAACTTCCTTTTCTTTACATGTGTTACAGGCAAACTACAACTTAGATTTATTCATAAATTACACTGTTGCTAAACAAGAAAGAAAAACTTGGATTTGCCTTTACCATTAAACATGCATCACAATGTACAAACAAAACACTTCTATCTAGAGGGGGAAATGACTTCATTAATAAGGATGAACATTGTCTATACATTTGCTGATACAGAGTGGAACTTACCAAAGACAAACATAGACTTACCAATGGATCTTAACCAGAAATTAAATTAAGCTGAGTAACACTTTCTTAAGGCCAACCTCTTTCTTGTTAAGAGTCTCTATGGCAGACTTTGCTTCTGTGTCAGACATGCGCACCGTTGCTTCGCCTTTTCCGATATACTTGATATTTACACAGCTCACTTTGTAGTCATGGAAAAAGTCCAAAACTTCTTCAGAAGTGGTTGTAATAGGTAAGTTCCTGATGAACACAAGTGTCTTGCCTTCAGGCAAGTCTGCATTATTGACACCTAATTCATCTTCATTTAGGTCATCTTCAGTTTCCAGTATGGAGTCATCCAGGCAATCTTCTACAGAATCATCTTGCTGCAAAGGATCTGTGCAATCTGAAGGATTTTCAGCCTGCTCAGAGTTAAATGGATCATCATCTATTTCCTGATCGGCATCCATTTCCTGATCAACATCATTTTCGAAGTGGGCATCTTTTTCCTTATTGGCATCATTTTCTATGTGGGCATCAGTTTCCTGAGCAGCATAATTTTCTTCATTGACATTATCCATGCTGCCATCCAATTCGTCTTTATTTTTCTTGTCGGCATCAGTTTTGCCTTGGTTTTTCTTATCGCCATTTTTCTGCGGGGTGCTATCCAATGTCACCTGGTTAGAATTTTCTGCCTCTGCAGATTCACCCGCAGTGTCTGGCACTTCACTGGCTTGAGAAACGCTCGAGTCCTCAGGATTTGCCGAATCCTTCTCGGGACTGCTTGTCGAAGTGCCTTTGGTAAGAGATTTCATTTGCTCCTCAGAAATGCGACTCAGCAGAATCTCTGTGCCTTGGTGCTTTTCATGGTTTAGTTTTTCTGCCTTGGATGCTTCTTTTTCATCTGAGAATTTGGCCAATGCTTCCCCAAGGCCGACACCTTTATCATCATACAGTAAAGTAACATCATCCTCCTTTAAGGCAAAATCTTTGAAGAATGCTACCACATCAGCTTTTGTAACATTAGAGGCAAAATTTCGCATGAATACATATTTCTTGTGTTCTTGAGAGCTTTCGGACCTTCTACTTGATCGCTCTCTACTGGACCTTGACTTCCTGCGATCGATTAACTCTAGCATACCTTTTTTAGAAATGGGCAAAATGTTTATGGTATGACCTTTGAAAGATTCAAGGTTTAAATTTAGAGCTCTTTTATAATCTTTTTGTGTAGTGAACATTGCAAAGGCTTCCCTTGTTCTTTTACCATCTTTGTCAAGTAGGAATGTAATGTGAGAGTCATCCATGTCAAGATCAAAGAAGAATTTTTTTATGTCCGCCTTTTCAGCTCTGTAACTTACATTAATAAGATGAACATAAAATTCACGGATGTATGGGGACCTACGTCTCTCCCTCCTAACTGGAGACCTAGATCTGGTGCGGGACCTTCTTCTTCGAATTGGAGACCTACGTGGAGATCTACGCGGAGATCTACGCGGAGACCTACGCGGAGACCTACGTGGGGCTCTGAGTGGAGACCTACGCGGAGATCGACGTGGGGGAGTGCGGTCCCTTTTCTGCACAGTCGAATCACCACCATTTTTGTTCCACTCGTCTTCATCTGAAAGTCGGAGTGTTACTGGAGAACCACCAAGGAAAACGCCATCAAGTTTGAGTGCATCACTAGCTTCATTACTGCCTTTGAATTTAATTAAGGCATTTCCGTTTCTCACTCCGCTTACAAATTTCAAGAATATGACATCCTCTACGGTAAAGCCCTTAAAAAATTCTCTGAGTTCAACTTTTGTGATTTTTTGAGACATCCCATGTATGTATAAAAATGAAGGTTTTGCACCCAGGGGTCGAACAGCTCTTTGGCTCATCCCTGAAGAAAGGCCACCCAAAGAATCATTGGGGCCAATTCTGTAAACTTCCAATGCCCGACGCATCTCCGATTCATTGCTGTATGACAGGTAAATGAATGAAGTCTTCAGAGGACGTCCTGATAGGGTCATTGCATACTGAGCATCTTCAAAGCTTGCAAATATGATAAAGGCCTCGCCATATTTTCCACCTGTGATATATACACCACCTCTGGGAATATTTAATCCATAGAAAAACTGTCGAATGTCAAAAGAATCTGCAACAGGCGGAAGCCCCTGTAGACGTACGATTATCGTCATTTTCAGGACTGAAACAGGTACACCTGCAAGCAAGGAGAGGTCTTCAATATCATGCATCTAGTAACACAGAACTACATAAATTCATGCAGACAAACTCAATGTATGAAAGTCAGAATAAGATTTAATATAAAAAAATATTAAAGTATTTTGTATTGTAGCTTGCATGGCTGTACATACTGATATAAAATGGTCTATAAATCAAACAATACAAGTCAGAATTAGCTTGAAATGAGACTACAATATTAATGCATTAACCCCTTCATGACTGAGGCCTTTTTTTTTTCATTTTTTGTACCCATGTTATATTCCACATTTTAGGCCTGAAAATGACATAAAACCCCCCAACATTATATATTTTCTGAATGCCAAGACCCTATAGAATATAGACAGTCGGCTTTACAAGTTTAAACACGACTCCCGGCGGCAAAAGTCGGCGGAAGTCTGTTTAAACAGCCCCGATTGCTGGCGACGTACACTGTACGTCGTCAGTCACGAATGGGTTAAAGCCCATTTGAACTTTTAGTTTAGCTAAACAAAAAGGTGTACAAAGTCTTACAGTTCATTTTCTTTGGAAAGCAGCCACAGCCTAAGTAAAAAGAAAAAGTCTGCCAGCTTGCTGCAGAGAAGGACCCTTGCTCTCTGCAGAAGTCTGAATCAGACCTAGACCTACATATCTGATCAGAAAGCTTGTGCTCCCACTTTTGATTGGAGATTTAGCTCTGACTCAGCAGGGATTGTGTCAGACATCTGCAGAGATATCACTGCTTTCACAGACCAAGGATCCTTCTTTGAAGGATGCTGCCAGGGGACAGGCTTTTCTAATGTGGCTACTCCCTAAAGAAAATTAACGCAAAGACAATGCACGCCTGTTCTGATGCACCTAGAATGTTTTTAGCTGATTTAAGCAAAACATTTATTTGAACTTTAGCCCGTTATGTAGCCTAGGCATGGCAGGTTCATCCAGAAAAACTCCATGAAAGTACATAGGTGTGCGTGGCATGCCCTGTCCCTCCCGTTTTATTTGATGTTTATTGTTACATTAAAAATGCTCCAAATTGAAAAATTCCCATTTCATCTCTACAATGCTTTGTACTGGAAATATGATAACAAACAAGACAAACCAGTGTACCTTTTATCCACAGCAACACTAATTCTTATTAAGCCTCTTTCCACACAGGAACTTCTGAGATCCCTGAAGTAAGATATTACAGATTCCTGTGGCAGGACTGCCAGGTGTCCACGTTCAGATGCAGCTGCTGTACCCACTGAAGTAAATGACAGGGTGAAAGCGAGTGAGTCTATGAACAGCAGTCCACATGTACCTGTAACATAGTACAATTACGTTCAGTTTGGGATATATGTCTTTTTCTGGACGCAGAATAGCTTTTATCCATTTAATTAGATTACAGGGCGTCAGTGGCCGCATCTGAATGTGTCCCTGTGAATGCAGCCTCAGGCCCCCTTCACACAGAGCGACATGAAAATCGCGCGATTTTATATGTGCGATATTGCGCGACTTGTTCCTATTGGGCTGTATGCAATCAGGAGCAAAATCGCTCGAAATCCGCAGAAAAAAGGTGTCATGTAAGAGAGACAAGCTACAGAGACGAGCTACAAGCAATATTAAGCGGCGAGATGTGAACAGCTCCATTGAAATGGATTGGAGAAGCTACATAGAGCGATATCGCGCGGAAATATGAGCAAAATCGCTGCAAAAAAATCGCACGATAAATCGATCAGTGTGAATGGGGCCTTACTGTCAAAGTAGCAAAAAGTGTTTTTCTAGAACATTTTATCTACTGCATTGAAAATACAGATTTTGGCAAGACAGTAACACCAAATTAAAGCTTTGTTTGTCTTGGGGGGAAAAAACAGCGTATGCATTATTCCATCTTACAGTGACAGTAAACTCAGGAGATAAACCCTAAAAATACATTCAAGTACATCACTCGGGTATAGATCCTCAAATCATCTGACTTGGTGCAGACACTGTGCTTCCTTCTGGGGGATGGCTACCGTGTTTGCCCGAAAATAAGACAGACAGTCTTATATATTTTTTCAGGTACATTATAGACTGCATACGGTCCCCATTGAGTATCCCCTCACATACTTTTTTTCTACCATAATTTAAAGAAAGAGAGATAAAGAGTAGAGATAAAACTGTTTTATAAAACATCTCTAATTAATTGAAGATGATAAAATATGCTGAGGCACACAGCAGAGATACCGGTATGTAATGTACTGAGAATTGGAGTGAAAGAATGGTACTGTGACTGTCACAGTACGATACCTGGCAGCAGCTGTCTGGAGCTCTGTAATGCCGTCCAGGGAGCCAACCAGAAATTCCCTCACCTCAGCTTCGACCCCATTGGCCATGCTGCTGTGCCTGCTGGGAAACGTAGTTTTCCAGCGCCAGCTCTAACTTCCTAAAAGCCGAGGCAGACGGGCCTACAGGAGGGGGTGAGAGAGGGAGAGAGCTGCTGCGGCCAGAAAGTTTTTTGCAATCTTGCAGACAAGAGACAAGCTGCACATACCGGTATCATTGATTTTTACACTCCTTGCTACACTCCAACAGACCCCTTGCTGGCTGCTTGGATGCAGCAATACCGGTACATGTGCGCCCCCCCTACCGCCGAACTAGGTCTTATTTTCAGTGGTAGGTCTTATATTACAGAAATCCCTGAAGATAGCGATGGTCTTATTTTCGGGAAAACACGGTACTTCTGTTCCCCATGGTTCCTGTGTGTGTTGTAAAGTAGCCACCACTCCAAGCTCGCTCCTGTGATGGACTACAATCTCATGTTTAGTTCACTAATTTGTAGTGAGATTGTAGTCCATCCCGGGAGCAAATTTGAGGTGGTGACTACTTTACAACACACACAGGGACCAAAAATAGCTGCCCCGCAAAAGGAAGGACAGTGTCAGCACCAATTCAGAGATGATTTGAGCAGGGCTTGACAAATTTTCTTTGGACCCAGCTAAAAAAAAAAAAAAAAGTTAGGAGCCGGCTTTTTTTT